TCCTTCTTATGTTATCTACTGTTTTGAGTGTCTGTTTATAGTATCTGTGTCTGTTTATTAGTAAATTATCTTTGTTTAATTAATATATTATTTTATGTGGTATCTTTGTTTAGTATCCTGTTTTATTAATTGTCTTTGTTTTGAGTAATAAACATAAGTAGTGTCTTTGTTTGGTTGTCTGTTTTATTAGTAATTATACTTTTGTTTAGTATCATTTTATTAATATTTAATATTTTGTTTAGTATCCTGTTTATTATTTAATGTTTGTTTAATTAATATTTTACTGGTATCTTTATTTTAGTGTGTACCATTTTATAATTAATTATCATTTATTCATCTCTTTTATAATGAGTATCGCTGTTTGATGTCTGTTTATTGTATTATCCTGTTTACGGGTATATTTGTCGTGTCTTTGTTTTTAGTGTCTGTTTATTAGTAATTGTCTTTGTTTAGTGTCTGTTTATTAGTAATTGTCTTTGTTTAGTGTCTGTTTATTAGTAATTGTCTTTGTTTAGTGTCTGTTTATTAGTAATTGTCTTTGTTTGGTGTCTGTTTATTAGTAATTGTCTTTGTTTGGTGTCTGTTTATTAGTAATTGTCTTTGTTTGGTGTCTGTTTATTAGTAATTGTCTTTGTTTAGTGTCTGTTTATTAGTAATTGTCTTTGTTTAGTGTCTGTTTATTAGTAATTGTCTTTATTTTGGTGTCTGTTTATTAGCCATTGTCTTTGTTTGAGTGTCTGTTTAAATATTTAATATTTTTGTTTTGAGTGTCTGTTTATTATGTGTCTTTATTTTAGTGTCTGTTTATTATGTTATCCTTTGTTTTAGTATCAATATAAATAATTATCATTTAGTGTCTATTTAATAGTAGTGTCTTTTGTTGAATTGTCTGTTTATAAGTAATTGTCTTTGTTTGGTGTCTGTTTATTAGTAATTGTCTTTGTTTAGTGTCTGTTTATAAGCAATTGTCTTTGTTTGGTGTCTGTTTATTAGTAATTTGTCTTTGTTTAGTGTCTGTTTATTAGTAATTGTCTTTGTTTAGTGTCTGTTTATTAGTAATTGTCTTTGTTTAGTGTCTGTTTATTAGTAATTGTCTTTGTTTAGTGTCTGTTTATTAGTAATTGTCTTTGTTTGGTGTCTGTTTATTAGTAATTGTCTTTGTTTAGTGTCTGTTTATTAGTAATTGTCTTTGTTTAGTGTCTGTTTATTAGTAATTGTCTTTGTTTAGTGTCTGTTTATAAGTAATTGTCTTTGTTTGGTGTCTGTTTATTAGTAATTGTCTTTGTTTAGTGTCTGTTTATTAGTAATTGTCTTCTTTGTTTGGCAGGTCTGTTTAGAAGTAATTGTCTTTTGTTTGCGTCTGCTTATTAGTAATTGTCTTTGTTTGCGTCTGTTTATAAGTAACTGTCTTTGTTTAGTGTCTGTTTATTAGTAATTGTCTTTGTTGGTGTCTGTTTATTAGTAATTGTCTTTGTTTGCGTCTGTCATTAGTAATTGTCTTTGTTTAGTGTCTGTTTATTAGTAATTGTCTTTGTTTGCGTCTTCGTTTGCTGCAATTGTCTTTTGTTTGCGTCTTTTTATTAGTAATTGTCTTTGTTTGGTGTCTGTTTATTAGTAATTGTCTTTGTTTAGTGTCTGTTTATTAGTAATTGTCTTTGTTTAGTGTCTGTTTATTAGTAATTGTCTTTGTTTAGTGTCTGTTTATTAGTAATTGTCTTTGTTTGGTGTCTGTTTATTAGTAATTGTCTTTGTTTGGTGTCTGCTTATTAGTAATTGTCTTTGTTTGGAGTCTGTTTATTAGTAATTGTCTTTGTTTGGAGTCTGTTTATTAGTAATTGTCTTCGTTTGGAGTCTGTTTATTAGTAATTGTCTTTGTTTGGAGTCTGTTTATTAGTAATTGTCTTTGTTTGGTGTCTGTTTATAAGTAATTGTCTTTGTTTGGTGTCTGTTTATAAGTAATTGTCTTTGTTTGGTGTCTTTTTATTAGTAATTGTCTTTGTTTGGTGTCTGTTTATTAGTAATTGTCTTTGTTTATGTCTGTTTATTAGTAATTGTCTTTGTTTAGTGTCTGTTTATTAGTAATTGTCTTTGTTTGTGTCTGTTTATAGTAATTGTCTTTGTTTGGTGTCTGTTTATTAGTAATTGTCTTTGTTTGGTGTCTGCTTATTAGTAATTGTCTTTGTTTGGAGTCTGTTTATTAGTAATTGTCTTTGTTTGGAGTCTGTTTATTAGTAATTGTCTTCGTTTGGAGTCTGTTTATTAGTAATTGTCTTTGTTTGGAGTCTGTTTATTAGTAATTGTCTTTGTTTGGTGTCTGTTTATAAGTAATTGTCTTTGTTTGGTGTCTGTTTATAAGTAATTGTCTTTGTTTGGTGTCTGTTTATAAGTAATTGTCTTTGTTTGGTGTCTGTTTATTAGTAATTGTCTTTGTTTGGAGTCTGTTTATTAGTAATTGTCTTTGTTTGGTGTCTGTTTATTAGTAATTGTCTTTGTTTGGTGTCTGTTTATTAGTAATTGTCTTTGTTTGGTGTCTGTTTATTAGTAATTGTCTTTGTTTAGTGTCTGTTTATTAGTAATTGTCTTTGTTTGGTGTCTGTTTATTAGTAATTGTCTTTGTTCAGTGCCTGTTTATTAGTAATTGTCTTTGTTTGGTGTCTGTTTATAATTATCCTAATTTAGTGTCTTATTAAGGAATTAAGATTTTGTTTTTAAGTATTTGTTTGTAAATGTCTTTGTTGTATCGCATTTTTAAGAGACTATCTTATTAATTGTTTAAATATTAACAAAGATATGAAGTGTTAAGTTATGTTTATATAAGTTTAATTTTAAGGGATTTGTCAAGTAGTGTTGTAGTAACTTAGTGAAAGGCGCTTAATGGCTCTGGTCACTGTGGCGTCAAAACACCTTACAACAACAACAACAACAACAACTACAAAAATAACAACAGCAACAACAATAAAAAAAATATTAACAACAACATTAACAACAACAATATTAACAACAATAACAACAACAATAACAACAAAAATATTAACAACAATATTAACAACATTAACAACAATAATAACAACAAAAATATTACCAACAATATTAACAACATTATCAACATCAACAACAACTACAAAAACATCAACAACAACAACAAACACAATAACCACAACAACAATAAAAGCGCAAATTAACAAAAAACATCAAAAACAAAAATTAAAACAAATTAACAACAGCAAAAAAACAAAACACGGCTAATCTCAGGTAATATCACTATAGTCTTGACCATTTTACTTCGTCTAAAACAAAAAGCAATTGTTTGATGTATTCGTATTTATGGATAGGAATTTCAACAGTTTAATTTGAATGAGGAATTTATCTAGATAACAAAGTACATTATGTGAGGGGTACAAACAGGCAAATACTGTAACAGAGTCCAATATTACAGTAGTACAGCGGAACTACAAAACAAAGCGGGCAGCGGCGTTTGATACAGCAACTACTTTTATCTAATTTTATTATTTTTTTATTAATTTCTATAATATTTTTCAGAAACGTACCTACGGTGGCCTTCAAAAACTTTCCTAACTCAAGATATTAACGATAATAGTTTAAAAGTTTTGTGAATTTAACAATAATAATTATTTTAAACTGTCAATGCTTATTTGTTCTTTATTTTCTCATTTAAAAACTTTCAGAAAGTATTTTAGTAACTTTACAAATGTTTTATACTTTAGTAAAATATTTTTATGAGTAACCATGCCTCAAAATAAGTTTAAAAATATATATATATAATATTTAGCGCACCAATATATAAACTCTTATATTTATCTACAAACTGCAAGAGATTTATTTTTAAAAATTTATATGCAGTGACCTTCTTAAATTTTCCATATTGTAACCCCCAAAAAATATAATCTTCAAAAAAAAAAAAAAGTTAATAGCAATTTTTTATAGCATATTTTTTTTGGGTTAATTTTTCTAATTCTAAAATAGTTAATGTCAAAAACTAACATGTATTGGCCTAGCAAATATTCCAAACTAAGGTTCAATTAAAAGTAAATATTTAACAGTTCCGAAATTATATTAAAATAACAATATTGCGCAAAAGATTTATTTTTTAATTTGAAAACATCAATTTTGAAATCGTTTATTCTTTGACCAAAAAATATTGAACCTACATACTGTAACGCCAGAGATCCACAGCTTTATGCGGAACTTACAGCAAGTTTTCTGTGTGTTGCTGTACCCGGCCATACAATCTCTCTGTTAACAGCTACAAGCCTCCGTATCATAGTTTATTATCACTGTCGACCTAAACACTCAATATATACAAACACACTAATACCATTCAGTAAAACACTCATACACCAAAGAGATATCTATAAAAAAGGTTGTAATATAATACTTATAACAACAATATTCTTAAAGTAGACGAGGAAGATAAATTACAACACAAATATTGATATGTTGTACTGTACTACTGTAATGTCATTTCGTCACCTTTACCTAAACGGACCTACACTTTGTCAGCCATAGATAGAAATTACCATTGCAATAATTATATATTTACCGTCACTGTTTCTCTTCACACTTATCAGATTAATGTATATCAACTCCACTGTAAAATATGTATATACTTATAATATAAATGTAAAAAAAAGAATATATGAAACATTAAATAAAATAATTACGTAAATAAATAAAGTGGTGATAATCGTGGTAACATTCTCATGTGTTCTTACTACCATCATGCTATGTGTACTATTCCAGATGATACTAAATGTTACATAATACTTCCTTGAGATAAATGTACAGTATATATCAGGTGCCTACAGGAGAGCTCAGGTTCTCAACTGGCTCAGCCATGTTAATATTGTTATTATTATCCACTCTGTATCTGTGTTTTTCTGGTTAAATAAACTGTTTCTTTATCAATGTCAATAATTTAACCTTAGAATTTATATGAGCCACGTATAATATATTTTCTTGTTCATAGTTTTATATATAAGTCAGTGAGGACAGGTAGTGGCTCCCTGGCCAGGAGGACAGGTAGTGGCTCCCTGGCCAGGAGGATAGGTAGTGGCTCCCTGGCCAGGAGGACAGGTAGTGGCTCCCTGGCCAGGAGGACAGGTAGTGGCTCCCTGGCCAGGAGGACAGGTAGTGGCTCCCTGGCCAGGAGGACAGGTAGTGGCTCCCTGGCCAGGAGGACAGGTAGTGGCTCCCTGGCCAGGAGGACAGGTAGTGGCTCCCTGGCCAGGACGACAGGTAGTGGCTCCCTGGCCAGGACGACAGGTAGTGGCTCCCTGGCCAGGACGACAGGTAGTGGCTCCCTGGCCAGGAGGACAGGTAGTGGCTCCCTGGCCAGGACGACAGGTAGTGGCTCCCAGGCCAGGAGGACAGGTAGTGGCTCCCTGGCCAGGAGGACAGGTAGTGGCTCCCTGGCCAGGAGGACACAATGCCATCAGTAGTACACGTCCTCACTGGCCAGGACACAACGCCGCCAGTAGTACACGTCCTCACTGGCCAGAGGACACAACGCCGTCAGTAGTACACGTCCTCACTGGTCAGGAGGACACAACGCCGTCAGTAGTACACGTCCTCACTGGTCAGGAGGACACAACGCCGTCAGTAGTACACGTCCTCACTGGCCAGGACACAACGCTGCCAGTAGTACACGTCCTCACTGGCCAGGACACAACGCCGCCAGTAGTACACACGTCCTCACTGGCCAGACACAACGCTGCCAGTAGTACACGTCCTCACTGGCCAGGAGGACACAACGCCGCTAGTAGTACACGTCCTCACTGGCCAGGAGGACACAACGCTGCCAGTAGTACACGTCCTCACTCGGTCAGGACACAACGCCGTCGGGTAGTATACACGTCCTCACTGGTCAGGAGGACACAACGCCGTCAGTAGTACACGTCCTCACTGGCCAGGAGGACACAACGCCGTTAGTAGTACACGTCCTCACTGGCCAGGGAGGACACAATGCCATCAGTAGTACACGTCCTCACCGGCCAGGACACAACGCTGCCAGTAGTACACGTCCTCACTGGTCAGGAGGACACAACGCTGTCAGTAGTACACGTCCTCACTGGTCAGGAGGACACAACGCCGTCAGTAGTACACGTCCTTCACTGGCCAGGACACAACGCTGCTGCAGTGATGACGTCCACTGGCCAGGACACAACGCTGCCAGGTAGTACACGTCCTCACTGGCCAGAGGACACAACGCCGTCAGTAGTACACGTCCTCACTGGCCAGGACACAACGCTGCCAGTAGTACACGTCCTCACTGGCCAGGAGGACACAACGCCGTCAGTAGTACACGTCCTCACTGGCCAGGACACAACGCTGCCAGTAGTACACGTCCTCACTGGTCAGGAGGACACAACGCCGTCAGTAGTACACGTCCTCACTGGCCAGGACACAACGCTGCCAGTAGTACACGTCCTCACTGGCCAGGACACAACGCTGCCAGTAGTACACGTCCTCACTGGCCAGGACACAACGCTGCCAGTAGTACACGTCCTCACTGGCCAGGAGGACACAACGCCGTCAGTAGTACACGTCCTCACTGGTCAGCTGCTATGTGTTAGTCTCTGTATCACGACATATTATTAAAGCGTCTTCTTCTAAGAGTTTTACTGGCGGCTGTTGTATTAGAAGTATTGTACTACTGACTGTCTTTGTGGTATACTGTATATATTATCCTGAGTCTTAACATTCAGCAGCTAGTGGGTCACTCCACCACCTTGGCAGGATGCTAATTCATCCGATAATGTACTTATATATTACCAAGAGTACAAGACTTAAAGGCTATAAAATTTAATGGTAGTAAACGAACGTTAGTGTACAGGTGTTAGCAAACACGGTTAGTGTACAGGTGTTAGTAAACAAAGGTTAGTGCACAGGTGTTAGTAAACAAAGGTTAGTGTACAGGTGTTAGTAAACAAAAGTTAGTGTACAGGTGTTAGTAAACAAAAAATAGTGTACAGGTGTTAGTAAACAAAGGTTAGTGTACAGGTGTTAGTAAACAAAGGTTAGTGCACAGGTGTTAGTAAACAAAGGTTAGTGTACAGGTGTTAGTAAACAAAGGTTAGTGTACAGGTGTTAGTAAACAAAAGTTAGTGTACAGGTGTTAGTAAACAAAAGTTAGTGTACAGGTGTTAGTAAACACGGTTAGTGTACAGGTGTTAGTAAACAAAAAATAGTGTACAGGTGTTAGTAAACAAAGGTTAGTGTACAGGTGTTAGCAAACACGGTTAGTGTACAGGTGTTAGTAAACAAAGGTTAGTGTACAGGTGTTAGTAAACAAAAGTTAGTGTACAGGTGTTAGTAAACAAAAAATAGTGTACAGGTGTTAGTAAACAAAGGTTAGTGTACAGGTGTTAGTAAACAAAAGTTAGTGTATTAAGTGTTAGTAAACAACGGTTAATGTACAAGTGTTAGCAATCAAACGTTAGTGTACAAGTGCTATTATACGAAGGCTATTGTAC